AAAAAAAAAAAAAAAAAAACAGACACATGAAACATCATTTAATCCTTGCTACACTTTTGATATGTAACCATTTCTTATTCTCATTTTATAGATAGAAAACTAATGATTTGACAGATTAACTGATCCATTGTCCCACTAGCACGGATGACAGAACTAAAGATTGGAATCATGGTCTGTTTGACTCTTAGGTCCTATGCTTCCATCCTAGGTAGACTTTGTTAATTAATGAGCTGCATGATGTAAAATCACTCTGATGTAAATAAAGTATCCTGTTTTAATATTAAGTGCATCTGAAGTACTTTTAATTAACATGAAATGCTTTCCTTAACATATGTGAAAGACCTATAAAGACCTGAATGGCTTGTGTGCCTTGTAAAAAATGGTCAGGCAGAGGCAGCAGGATCACACATTTCAGCCCAATTTGGGGGATTTAGTGACTTAGAAATACCCTGTCTCAACATAAATTTTAAAAAGGCTAGGGATGTGATTCAGGGCAAAGGCCCCAAGTTCATTCCCCAGTATTAAAAAAAATCATGGGCCTACGGCCTCTAGCTTCCATTGGGGCTGTGGGAATTCATCACACAGCTGTCATCCTGCTTTGGCATTCAGATAATCTCTACTCTGGACTTTTTCAGAGGCTCAGTTGCAGATGTCAGGATGCTGAGGGCTTTAAAGTGCCAAATTCCAGCTCTACTTCAAAGGCTCAGCTGGAGAATGGGAACTAAGTCACGCTTTTGGGAGGCCGAGGCCAGAGGATTGCTGTGAGTTCAAGGCCAGCCTGAACTATATAGTGAGACCCTATCTCAAAAAAAAAAAAAAGTCACACTTATTCCCCTGGGTGCTCACAATTCTGTTAATACCATGCCATCCTGTCTGAAGATGCAGGATTACTTTGGCCTGCATATATTTTACTTTGTTAACACTTTTCCCAATGGAAAAAAGGTGCAAAAATGCTTAAATAATTTGGGCAATTTTTAGAAAATGTATTAGTAAATTATAAGCATGCCCTTTTAGAGTTCAAAAAATAATATGGATGCATAAATAGGATGTTTTTATGTTATTACAACAAAATGTGTGTATTCCTCAAAATTTCCCAAAATTCCAGTTGGTAAGGATGTTTGCTGTCTCTTTTTTGTCCTATTGTTGCTTTGCACCCTAGCAGTTACTTGATAGGGGATCTTGGAAAGATTGCTTAGCCTCCCAGGACCTCAATTTTTGTTACGTGTAAAAGATATCTTATTGTGAAGGTAAGTATGATAAATGTAATGATCTTATTATGAAGATAATGTATGAAGAGTCGTTGTCCAAAAGTACTCTGCCAAGTTACTTATGTTCTAAAAAGTGAAACTAACAAGCTTTATTTTGTTTTTTTTGAGACCTGATTTCGCTAAGTAGTCCAAGCTGGCCTTGAACTATGGTGAACCTCCTGCATATTTCAGCAGCAAACTATTTTTGTTTTTGTTTTTGGTGGTATCAGAGATTGAACTTAGGACTTGGCACTTGCAAGGCAGGCATGGTGGCACTGATCTAAATCCCTGCCCCTAGCAAATTGTGTTTTTAAAAGTATCTTTAGTGGCTGGGGATTTAGCTCAGTGGTTCTACCACCTGCCTTGCAAGTGCAAGGACCAGAGATCGATCCCGGGTACCTAAAAGAAAAAAAAAAAGTATCTTTAGGCCTACTATGGTGGTATATGATCCTGTCTCCAAAAAAAGTATGTTTCACCAGGTGGTGGTGGTGCATCTGTGTAACCCCAGCACTTGCAAGGTTGAGGCAGAAGGATCCCAAATTCAAGCCTACCTTTTTAGCAAGACCTTGTCTCAAAGAACAGAACAAGGACTTAGTGCAGAGGTCTTGGGTTCAATAGGTAGTACTACTAACAGAGGAAAAAAAAAAAGGTATGTCTAATCCAATCCTATATGCTTGGTCTTTGCTGGGTGCAGCTTTAAATTCTTTTAATGCTAAGTAGGTAAACTTTAGGCTTAGCATTGTGGTTATTCATAGATGGTGAACAAATGCTCCATGCATAGAACAAATAGAATTTATGAATAAAGATCCTAAGCAAGAGTGGTATATGTACCTGTAATCCCAGCTCTTTGAAAGGCTTCTGAAGCAGAAGGATTCCCAAGTTCTAGCCTAGCTTGGGCAACTTAGTGATTTAGTGAGCCCGTCTCAAAATTAAAAGGGCTTGGTATGAAGCTCAGTGTAATAGCCCTGAGTTCAGTTTCCCAGTATCACAAAGTAAATAACATTTCTTAAAAATTTAAGAAAACCCGCTGTAGTAAATTGTAGAGATCTTAAATGAGTGCTTTTCCAGAATGATTTAGTTTCCATCTAAGTACTGAAATACACAGGTTTGTCTTTTCTAGTCTTTGAGGTTACATACATTGTATTTCAGTTACAGTGCACTGGCTGCACTGTGGATGAATTTCCTCCTTATGGATTATATGCAGTCATGGGCAAAGATCAGACTGTTCAGTCTTAGTTTTACAGACTGAGAAAAACATTCGGCTAGGTTAGGTAGTTTCTTTATTCTACAACTTAGGATATGATTAAGATATTAGTTGTAATTATGCCAAGAGATTACCATGAATTTATGCATGGTTTATTCTGCTCTACTACCCTTCCTTTACTCCCCTGTCTAAAATCTATACAAGTTACAGTTGGAGAAATTCATATTATAAAGAATCCACTTGTCAACAAAAAACAGGCTCTTTGTTGTGAGGAAAAGAAAAGTTTATTCCAGCCAACAGGGACTAGAAATGAGATTCTAGCAGCTAGTTGCAAAGTTTATCACATCTGTGTTTATGGGAGAGAGTGATAGTGGCAGCTAGCTGGGAGAGATTTTATCCTTGGGTTTATGGGCCAACACCAGGGAAGAGAGAGATTAGGGACAACTGGGAAAGGAATTAGGCTTATATAGGTTTTGAAGGGGCTAAGGAGTTGGGGTGACATATTTATGAATTAGCTGCCCAAGGATGGTCTGGACTGTTTTGCACCAAGAAGGTGTAAGTCATAGTTTTGAGTCCATTTGCCTCATTTGGAATCTGCTGGAGTTCACTGAAAGCAGCCTGTTTATTTTTCCTGTTGATTTAGGGCAGGATTGACACTTAATGTGTCAGTCTCCTCTTCACAAATATGCTTTAAATTTGTTTGGAGATTGTTCTGCCCTTTTCATAGTTTAAAAAAGAAAAAGTCTTCCCAGACTTTTGTGGGTAACAAACATATGGTTTGGAGTTCCAGCTCTCTGTTGCATGGAAACACACTCTATCTTGGAGTAGGGTGGCCAATTACAGCCCAAGGAAGAAAGGGAAAAGGAAGGGGAAAGAATGAGAGGGAATGTGTAAGGAAAAAAGGAAAGGAAAAAGAAAGGAGTTATGCGACCTCCCAATTGTGGGGAGGCAAGGCTGGAAGGTTCCTGGCACTGGGAAACAATTAGCAATGCTTAATTTCTCTCTTTTCTCCTTTAAAATTGTAACTACAAAGACTAGCAAACTGAACAGCTGCCCCCAATCCCTGCGTGGCAGGTGGAGTTATCTTTGTTTTACAGATCAACTCCCAAACTTGGTTGTGACTGCTTGATGCCCTTCAGCTGGTAACACAGCCTGATTTAATGTATTTTTGTTTTCAGCGGCATTAGGGATTAAACTCAGGCCTTAAAAAAAAAAAAGTCAGAATCTCACTAAGTTACCCAGGCTGAGTTTGACTTTGCAATCGTCCTGCCTCAGCCTCCTAGAATGCTGACATTATAGGCATGTGCTACCATGCTGGGTCAGACCATGATTTTAAATTCAGACCTGTTCTTTCCAGTATAATACAGGATACCTTCTAGCAACTTTGTTTTGTTTTGGTACCAAAGATGGAACTCAGATCTTTGTGCTTGTGAGGCAGTTGCAGTGCCACTGAGCTAAATCCCTGGCCCTCTAGCAACACTTTTGAGTGAGACCTGATTCATATGGGGGAGATTTTGGTACCGACAAAACAAAATGAGCAGTGGTTGGATGTGCTGTAAGAAAGAAGCCCCAGCTCCTGTCACTTGTTTCTGTACCCCTCGTTGTCCCAACTCTCCTGATCCTCTGGAACTGCCCTGCCTCTCCAGTTCCCAAGTGTGGGAAATAGTAACTCCACCATGTGTTGGTAGGCACCTCAGCTTCCCCAAAGCCGAATCGACCTGACCCACTCCCCATCCTCGCAGCTGTATCACACCCTTCCATCTGCGCATAACATATCCAGCCTACTCACAAGATGTAGAGTTCAGTCACTTCACCAGGTGCACTGCCATGCCACGTCTGATTTCAGCTGCCACATGCTCCCCCGGCAGCCCCCATCCACGCCACCGTGCCTCTGTCTCAGAGCCTTTGCACTTTGCAGCTCCTATGCCTGGAGAGCTCTTCCTCCAGCTAGAAGCGTGGGGACTGGCTTCCTCCACTGGGATGTGGCTCAGCTGTCGTCCTAAAAACTTCCTCTGATCACCTTTATTTTAAACTGCAACCCTTTTCTATTCCCAGCTTCTCTCTATAGCACCATCACTATAGCACCAGTGGTTAGTGGACAGTGTGCGCGCTTCTAGACCCCTGTCTCCCTAATGGGAAACTATACGAAGGCAAGGAATTTTTTTGCTCAGATTTCGTTGCTGTTTCCTCAATGCCTTGAGAAGTTTCAGGCCCAAAACCGCAGTTTAATACGCGTGGAGTGAATAGCCACAGGCAGTCAGCCTCTTTCCTCCCAGTCTTTCGGAAATCAACAAGCGCCTTCAGCAAAGCCCGCCTTTGCACCAGCTGCGCGGAGGACTCTGCTCGGCCCAGCTGCTCCCTGCGCCCAGCTCTGGCAGCCACTTCTCGCAACAGCCGGAACGTTTGTGTGCGGCCGAAGCGACCTGCGGAAGATCTTCAGCAGCGCGCTTCGAGTAGGGGCGCTTCCGGCAGAGACTGGTTCGCACAGGGCCGGTGAGTCCGCGGGTGGAGTGAGGCCTTCGCTACGCCGAGGCGGGCGGGCGGGCGGGCGAACGGAGGACCCAGACAAATTGTTCTGGCTGGCCCCAGGGGGCAGAGGACAGCTTCTGTACGGAACCGAGAAAGGCGCGTGAGGCTGCGGGCTTGGTCCAGCCTCAGGCCCGGCGCGTGGACTGGAATTCTGGCTGTGGGTGCGAGCTCGTGACTTGGCGCCACTGTGGTCGCGAGTGAGTTGCCTACCTCGGAGTCCCGAGTTCCCACTTGCAAAGCGTCCCGAGTTCCCACTTGCAAAGCTGGCCCAGCCGTAACTCTTGTCTGTCTCCTCATGAAACGCCTTCCGGATTGCGGTGCTGGGTGCAGCTCTCGTTTGTTCGCAGATAGTATTTTGATCTCATCTAACTAACAAAATAATTGAGAACATTACGGGAACTTGTTTTTGATGTTCACAATACAGAAAATAGACTCAAAACTTTCAGTTTAGTCACTATACTGTCCTACCACGTGTGGCACAGCACAGATGTTAAAATTGTCTCTTCTAGTTTTTCATCTTATTAAAGCAGATCACCACATTTCCTGAAAGAAGTTAATCTCTTAAAAAGACAATGTGTGTTTTTTTAATTCAGTGGGAAATGTATGGAATTTTAGCTAGTAATATCTGATTATAGCAGGTGCCACAAAAAGCAGGGGATACCTTAGAAGCAGCCTCCAACTTATCAGGTGATTTTAATTTCAGGCCATGTATAGGTCGGTTTAAAATATTTTCTATAAAATAATAATATAAATGGAGGGTAAAATGTTGGCTATGGTCCTTATTTATATATATAAAATCCATCAAAAAAATGTGTACACACTTCCGGAAAAGGAAAACTTGTATAAATATTTTAGTACTAACTTTATTTAGACATCATGAGGTTAATATGTTATCTTTGGCCTCTGTAATTGCAAGAGGTGCTCAAAGTGGTGGCCATTAGTTTCCTGACATTTATTAGTACTGCAGACTGCTGCTTGGGGATACTTGGCCATTAAGATTGTTGCCCATGTATTTTCAATTTCTTCTCTAAGGGCCTGCAGTATAGTGTGTTTTCTGCAATACATGACATCCTTTAGGGTTCCCTGTGGATAAAAGTTTTAAAATATTTATACAGGTTTTTCTTAAGTGTGTGTAAAATTTTTGGCAGATTCTGTATTTATTTCAAAGGTAATCATTTATTGGACAGATAGAGTAAGATCTTATTCGTATACAGTTGCCCTAGGTAGGCAGACAGGCACTTAGAGAAAATCTCTTTCTTTCTTCCTTTGTTTTTTTAGTCAAGAATTTTGCTGTGTAGTTCAGGCTGGCCTTGAACTGCCCAGCTCAGGCTGGCCTCGAACTGATGGCAACCCTCCTGCCTCAGCCTCCTGATTGCTGGGATTGCAGGTGTGTGCCACCATCCTTGGCAAGAAAATCTTTGATTCTTGGCCAATTAATAAGTCTTCCTGGGCAATTTGGGAAGATTCTAGGGATTCTGTTATCTCACCTGTGTGAGAGTCAATGGTCATCAGGTTACAGGTCTTATAAGATGACACAGAGATGAGGGATGATGCTGTATTCCAGTGAGGATGCATTCACTCAGCTGTGGAGGTTTGGCTACTCCTCCAGCTCAGGCCTGGAGACAGCAGTCAACACTGGTCAATCCCAGAATATTTTCCTTAACTCCATATTTTTTGGCATATTTCTATAAATTTATCCTTGAGTTCTGAATGTACACCTCTCAGCCATTGAGCTCCATGAGTTGGAATTTTTTCCCACTGTGTGCAAATCAGTCCGTATAGACTGATTCAAATATGCCAAATATATTATGTCCATCATATTGAACAATATATATACTTTTTGTCAGAAACTCAAAATTTCAATACATTCTTCATCTATAATTGAAGGAAATTTAAAGAATGAGGAAGCATTTGCCAAAGGAAAGGTGTGTTCCACGAAAACCCATGTGCTACCATTTTCTTATATTTTTTCCTTTTGGTCAGAGGCCATGAGACCAGAATACCATTCTGGAATCTAAGATTATGTAGTTGGAGCAATAGCCAGGTGTTCCTCCTTAGTGCCATCTTACTTGGCAGGTGGAGGCCTGAGAAAGCAGAATAGCCTGTGGAAGACAGTTGGGCCTTATATAAGGACCATGCCAGTGACGGGATATGACCCTAGATTTGGGCTGGGACAGGAGATACCACTGGGGAGGGTGGAGGTGTGGGTGTGTTGGGGACATTTATTACTTGGGTTATGGTTCATGAATTTTTTACCACCAATTTTATCCTTAATTATTAAAATAACTGCACCTGCCTTGCAAGTGCAAGGTCCTGAGTTTGATCTTTGGTACCAAAAAATTAAAAAGGATGTAATATAAACATCTAGAAATTAATAAAGAGGCAAAACTTTTAAACCTATCTTGCAAATGAAACCATTTGTATTTATTATTGAATGATTGAATAAATAACTTCCTTTATCTTTTTCCTTTTTTTTTTGAAACAGGGTCTCACTATGTAGTTGAGACTGACCTGGAACTCACTATGTAGCCCAGGCTGTTCTCAAACTCACAGCAATTCTCCTGCCTCAGCCTCCTGAGTGCTAGGATTACAGGCATGCGCCACCATGCCTGGCTATCTTTTTCTTTTAATAGTTGTGGTCATACTTTATGTTTAATTTTTTTTCTGTTTATTGATTTGTTTGTTAGTTCAGGCTGGCCTTCAACTTAAGATGTAGCCCAGGCTGGCCTCGAACTATGGCAAATTATGGTGATCCTCCTGCTTCAGCCTTCCAAGTTCTAGGATTACAGGCATGTGCCACCATGCCAAGCTAATTTTATTCTTTTGAATTATGAGATTTAAGCATTTGTTAATTATAAATTTTATTCTTAAAAGCTTGATAATAAAATTCAAACCTACACAAAGGTGGAAAGAGAGCATGATGAATCATTACGTATTTATGAGTCAGTTACAGTAATTATCGGTTGTGATTAATCTTTCAACTACCCTTGTATTAACTCCCGTAATTCTTTGGGGTTTGTTGTTTTTTTGTTTTGGTTTGGTTTTTTTGGTACTGGAAATCAGACTCAGGACCTTGCACTTGCTAGGCAGGCACTGTGCTACTGAGCTGAATCCCCATTCCTTGCTCCCATAATTCTGTGCTCTTGTGACACATCTCTAAAGCATTTTTGTTCATTGATAAATTATAAAAAGATGTTTATTTATATTGGTACTGCATTTGTCCATAAATATTCATATTTATTGGAAATAGGAAAAAGATTTCCAAGATGTTTCTTTTCATTAACAACAATTACTGAGTAAGCTACGAAGAGTAACATGACCTTCCATTCTGATTTTTCTTTTTCTGGTGCAGAGGGTTGAACCTAGGGCCTCTTGCATGCTAGGCAAGTGCTTTTATCACTGAGCTGTAGCTACAGCTCTTCTTTTGAATTTTATTTTGAGACAGAGTTTTGCTTAGTTGCCCAGGCTGTCCTTAAACTTGGAAGCCTCCTGCCTCAGCTTTCAGAGCAGTTGGTAATCTGGCATATACAACCATACCCTGCTTTTTTTTTTTTCCCTGTTTAATTTTTAAGTAAATGGTTGCATTTTGTAACAAACATATTTAGAACACTCATGGTCTTATGGTTTTTACAGCGTGCTGAAAAATATATTTTTAAAAAATATGGATGAAGAACCTGAAAGAACTAAGCGGTGGGAAGGAGGCTATGAGAGAACTTGGTAAGTATGGCATTATGACCTTATGGCCCCTTTTTTTCTTTTAGACATTATCTCTTTTTGCTTACAACTTTATTGAAATGTATTTTATATGTGTTAAAATTCACCCACTTTCATGTACAATTCAGTGATTTGTTTTAGAAAATTACTTCAGTTGTACAACCACTACCATAAATCAGTTTTAAGAGTACTTTAAGCACTCTAATAAAGTCCTTTATGACTACTTACAATTAATTGCATTTTAACTGCCCATAGACAACCACAATTCTACTTTCTGTTTATTATCGATTTGCCCTTTCTGGGTATTTCCCATAACTGTAATCATATAATATGTGATGTGTTGTGTCTAGCATTCATATAATATATACTGCCTCAAAGCTCATCCACATTATAGAGTATATTATGCTTTGTCCCTTTTTTTTTTCCTTTTCTGTAAGATGGGCTCTAGCATTCATATAATATATACTGCCTCAAAGCTCATCCACATTATAGAGTATATTATGCTTTGTCCCTTTTTTTTTTCCTTTTCTTTAAGATGGGCTCTCACTATGTTCTCAGGCTGATCTTGAACTCACAGTCTTTCTGCCCAGCCTTTTCAGTACTGACTTGGTTCTGTGTGTATAAAGCGGGTAGTGGGAGTTAAACCTGGGGGAGCTTTACCACTGAGCTACAGCCTCAGAATTTTCATTTTTTATTTTGAGTTGAGGTCTAAGTTGCCCAGCCTGGTCTTGAACTTTTCATCCTTTTGCTCTAGCCCCACTCAAGTAGCTGGAATCACAGGCATGTGCCATCATGCTAAGCCTGTTATTTTTATACTTCTGAATAGTATTCCAGTATACTGTCTTATCAAATTTTTGTTTATCAGTTCACCAGTTTCTGGATTTAGGTTGTTTATAGTTTTGGCTGTTATACTTAATCATACTGTGAATACCACTTGCAAATTTCTACATGTCTTTATTTCTTTTCTTTTTTTTTTGTGGGGGTGTTTTGAGACAAGGTCTCTCTATGTAGTTAAGACTGACCTGGAACTCACTCTGTAGCCCAGGCTGGTCTCGAATGCACAGCGATCCTCCTGCCTCAGCTTCCCAAGTGCTGGGATTACAGGCATGTACCACCACGCCCAGCTATGTCTTTATTTCTTGAGTTAATATTTTACCTTATCTGTTAAACCATTATTGCTTACAGGGAAATTCTTAAAGAAGATGAATCTGGCTCACTTAAAGCTACGATAGAAGACATTCTTTTCAAGGCAAAGAGAAAAAGGTATATAAACTCTTCCTAAATGTGTTATAAAAGGAAACTACATCCTTGAACCTTTCTGTCTATCTGTCACTATCCTTAGTGCTTCATTTGTGCATTTTCCAGGGAAACTAGCCTGTACTTGATGAATTGGTGGAAAGAACTGGCAACCTCACCTTACATCATCAGAGAAATGGTTTTCAAGAACTATTCACATTGCCTATAATTATGTGCATCTCAAAAGTTATTGATTTCACTGAAATTGCAGATTATTATTATATATTTTATGTACATTAGTTAGGAAGTTTATGGACTTTTTGGATATCATATGGTATTCCACTAAAATGTTTGTATAATTTTAACAGAGTATTTGAGAACCATGGACAAGTTCGACTTGGAATGGTATGTTATCTTTTTTCTTTTACTGGTACAGAAATAGTTTGAATTAGAGAAACATTCTGGCTCAACCGAATAAATAATAGTAAAAAAAACTATTTCTTTTATTTATTTTTTTCTGGTACTGGGGATCAAACTCAGGACTTTGTACTTGTGAGGCAGGTGTGGTGCCATTGAGCTAAATCCTCAGCCAGAACAACAAACTTTAAAAGAATATATTAAAAGCTATGCTCAGAATATGTGACTATTGAATACCGTTTGTACTTCTTCGTCAAAGGTATAACTGGAGATCATTCCCTTACTTTTTGGTAGATGCGCCACCTTTATGTGGTAGTAGATGGATCAAGGACAATGGAAGACCAAGATTTAAAGCCCAATAGATTGGCGTGTACATTAAAGGTACAGTAAAGTAATTTAAAAATAATTACCTTTATACTAAATTCAGGAAGGACACTGGATTCTGGAAAAAAGAATTCAATAAAATTTTATAGAAAAAGAATGGAGTAACATTTTTTTCTAGGTAATATAAACAACAACTAAGTGAAATGCTGTTGTACAATTCAGGGAAATAAACCTTGTCTGTGTCTAATTTCTACCCTCTTGTCCCAAGTCAGGATCTTGTTTGGTTGCTTATCCTTTTTCTTTACTGACTCTTAATTCTCCATTCACTTTCTTTAATGTGTCTTCTCAGCTTATAAACACATCCATAGTATTCCTAATTCATAAAGCCCCACCCTCCATCTTTCTGTTCTCCTGACTCTGTCTTCATTGGGTCTTTCTTTGTTTCCATTTTTTTGTTTGTTACTTTGTTTTTCTTTTTTTGAGTTGGGATTTTGGCTGGCTCTGAACTTGTGACCACACAAGAGATCCTCCTCAACTTCCTAAACATCTGGAGTGGAAGGTTCTTGCCACTGTGCTCATTCAAGATGTGCATGGTGGCAAGTGCTTGTAGTCTCAGTACTCTGGAGGCTGAAGCAGGAGGATTGCAAGTTCAAGCCCAGTTTGGACAACTTAGTGATTTAGCAAGACCCTGTGTCAAAATAAATAAAAAGGGTGTAGAAATGTAGCTCAGTATCAAGACCTTGAATTCAATCTAGTACAGTAAAACAAAATCAAAATCTAAAAACACCTAGTTCCTTCCTTCTTATCACCTGCTGTTTCAAATATAGTTTTTACTATTTAGCATTTTTGTAACTGAATGTATTCTTATAAATCTGTAAGCTTCAATATGATAAATGGGCTGGATCATAGCTAAGTGCTTTCCTAGCTTATGCAAGGCTCTGGGTTCCATCCCTAACAGCACCAAAAAAAAAAAAGCAGAGTGAGAGAGATGACGCTTAACAAATAGGTTTCACAAAACATAACATAATTGTACTTGTCTATACAGTTGTTATTTTGCCCTTATGTAATATTTCTTTTTGTTCTCTTTAAACAGTTGTTGGAGTACTTTGTAGAAGAGTACTTTGATCAAAATCCTATCAGTCAGGTATGTAGGTAAATGATACAATTCAGAATTGAATTTCTATTTTGGTGCCAAATACACTGGAATTTGTTTTCAAAAAATAAGACATACATTGTATTAGTTACTAAGTGATCCAGATTGTATACTCATTATGGGCACATTTATTTATTTTGGTACCAGGGATTGAACTTGGGTCCTTGCACTTGCGAGGCAGGTGGCAGAACCACTGAGCTAAATCCCCTGCCCTATGGGTACATTTACCAAAAAATAAAATAACTAAAATTTTAAAAGTATCTAGTAAACTCAGAGCTACATTTATTTGTTCAAAAATACTGTAAGGTGCTGGGCGTGGTGTACACCTATAAGCCGAGCACTCAAGAGGCTGAGGCAGAAGGATCGCTGTGTGTTCAAGGCCAGCCTGGACTACATAGTGAGTTTGCGGCCAGCCTGAACTACATAGTGAGACCCTGTCTCAAAAAAAAAAGTAGAAATACCATGAGGAAAAGTTTTTCATATATTGCTTATTTCTTTTATAGGTATACTAATTTATTTTACATAAATTCTTAACAAGGAAATAGTTATATGAAATTAATAATCATTTTTGTTTTTACTTGAGATCGGAATAATTGTAACTAAGAGTAAAAGAGCTGAAAAACTGACTGAACTCTCAGGTATGCATTAAATTATCTTTCCAGGATTCAGGGACTGCTTTAATTACTCAGTCTTGTAACCCTGTTTTTTGTTTTGTTTTGTTTTTTGTAACCCTGTTTTTATGGGTGCCTAGTAAATAAAGTGAAGCCTTCCTCTGTGCTTTTTAGGTGAAACAACTTAATAATACCTCTTTTCTCATTAAACTCTTGGAATCTAAGATTAACTTTTAAATTGAGTTCTGCACATGGTGAATAGTATTTCTGTGAATGTAAATCTGTTTCTTTAAGATATTTGCATTCTTTAATATTTTCTCTTTAAAATATTGAGGTAGTCTTATTGAAAACACAAAACCAGCCAGGTGTGATGCACACACCTGTAGTCCCAGCACTCAGGAGGCTGAGGCAGGAGGACTGCTGTGAGTTTGAGTCCAGCCTGGGCTACATAGTGAGTTCCAGGTCAGTCTCAACTACATACTGAAACCCTGTCTCAAAAAACAAAAACAAAAGAAAATTTAAAAAAAATCTGTAAATGGTTACAATATATCAAAAGAATAATGTTTCATAGTATATGAACATTATATGAAAATCAAATTACAATAAAATTTTTATAGTTTTAAAAAATTGAATCCACCTTCCTACTTGCATAACATAGCTAACTGAATTTTTACCTCTTAAAAGATAATAGTTTTTATTTCCTTTCCTATGTGTGCTACTGCAAGTTGACATAATTCCTTTTGTTTTTTTTGGTACCGAGGATCAAGCTCAGGACCTTGCACTTGTAAGGCCGTGTGGTGCCACTGAGCTAAATCCCTTGCCCTCCATTTTATTTTTTTGTAACATAGCTCTACCTTAAATCTGTTTCTCTGTCTTTCCAAATACATAAGGGAAATGGTGCACTTTGTTCATTAATAGTTTTTCACTATGGAAGTAAGGAGTAAGATGTTTGCCTAGACTGAGCTAAGAAACTCAGTTGCAGGTAGCCATAAAGAGAAAAATCTGGGCTGGCAGCATAGCTCAGTAAGGACCTGGGTTTGATCTCCTGCACTGGGTAGGTGGCAGGTGCTTCACTAGCTTAGTACCACCTGCAGGTTATTGGCCTGCGTTCCCATGTGGAATGAGCTGACATATACAGCAATTGTTCCCAGGCATCTTGAACTTGTCTGATTTCAACCTTTGGTCAAGTTTCTGTGAGATGCAAACTTGTCTGATAATAGTCCATGTCTACATGGCCCTTTTAATCTAGCTGTAGCCAGGTCCAGTGGGACTTTAGCCTTCTTTGTGATCTGCCAACCCACAAGCACCCAGCATGGCCAGGGGAATGAGGAATTTGGCTGGCTGGGGTTAAATTCTTCTGCCCAGAGCAGGATGGAGGCTGGATGGCTGCGGGCTCAGCAGGATGCTTACATGATATCACCAGAAACTTCCCCCTCTCTTCTCTCACCCCTTTCCCACCTCAAATGTAGAGTGATTCTGTGTGCCACTGAGGTCATATGTATAAAGATTTAAAAATCCTCTAGAGCCCAATCAGGCAGGAGGATCTTGAGATCAAGATCAGCTTGGGCTACGTAGCAAGTTCAAGACCATGACTACATAGACCCTGTCTCAAGAAAAAAAAAAAAAAAAAAAAAAAAAAAAACCTATAAAACATTGCTCAAAACAATTAAACAAGACCTAAAAAAATAATTACATGTCATGTTCATGGATTAGAAAATAGAGTATTATTAAAAAGCCAGTTTTCCCCTTATTGAAATATAGGTTTGTTGATATAACAAATTCCCAGCTTAAGTAGCTGTAAAAAATTAACAAGATGCGCTTGCAAGGTAGGTGCGGTGCCACTGAGCTAAATCTCTGGCCCATATGTCACCTATCCTAAAAGATTTGGCAGTTTTTCTTCCTTTCATTTATACTGCTTAGAGTGATATGGGCCAGTGATGGTGAACCTTTTAGGGCTTTCAGTGATAACAGCTGGCTGTTTTAGATTCCTCATCACTGCTATAGGCAGTCTTTCTAGGTGTTACTTCAGTTACCTCAACTATTACAGAAGATAATGCAGCTTTGCTTCTTTGTTAGAAGCTTTTTATTTTTATTTTTATTTTTTGGTACGAGAGATCGAACTCAGGACACTGTGCTTGCAAGGGAGGCATGGTGCCACTGAGCTAAATCACTGGCCCAGAAGCTTTCTTTATGTGGTCTTGCCAAGTTCTTACTTTCTTCCTTCAATGAATATTGTGCTTTAGAAATAACGGTTAAAAAAATAGAAGAAATAACAGTTTCCATTTCACTGTTCTGGTCCATGCTTTTCTAATAAAAATGCAACTTTTTGTGTTGAAAAACTTTCTAAAAATCTTTAAAATAGCAATTATATTGAACTTGAATAGCAGAACATATGTAATACAATTGAAGCAGTGCCCTAGGAAGAGCCATTCATAGGTTCCCACAGGGACAGAAAATTACAGCTACTTCACTCATGCTGTCCTGTTGCCAATGGTAGCAAGATATGTGCTGATTTCAGAACTATGAAAATACATTGCTTTTAAGTTTTCTTTTTTGGTTTTTTGAGACCGGGTTTAGCTATGTAGTTCAGGCTGGACTTGAACTCACTGTGTAGCACAGACTAGCCTTAAACTCATGATAATCCTCCTGCTTCAGCCTCCTGAGTTCTGGAATTACAGGTGTGCACCACCACAGCCACCCAAAATATATTGGTTTTAAAAAATGATGAAATATGGAAATATAAAGAAGAAAAAGTTATATAGACTAGGTTAATATTGTTATATATATATAGTATTGCATATAAAGATAAGATTCTATTTTCAATGTGAAGATTATCAAACATTTCTGACAAAAAGACAACGATAAAAACAAATTGACGACACTGTTTTTTTAATAGATATGTAAATTTTGGAAGAAGCATACATTTGTGTGTTGTATGTATGACATTTTATAAGTTAATTCTTGGCATTTAATTGAAGGAAACCCAAGGAAACACATAACATCTTTGAAAAAAGCTGTGGATATGACCTGCCATGGAGAACCATCTCTTTATAATTCCTTAAGCATGGCCATGCAGACTCTGAAGTTAGTATTTTGCATTTCTTTGTTTTTGTTTGTTTTTTGGTTTTTGGTTTTTGGTTTTTGAGACAGGGTCTTACTGTGTAGTTGAGGCTGACCTGGAACTCACTATGTAGCCCAGGCTGGTTTTGAACCCACAGTGATCCTCCTGAGTGCTAGGATTACAGGCGTGTACCACCATGCCCGGCTAGTATTTTGCATTTCTTACCGAGAGTTGATTTATAAGTTTTTCAAAATTAATTGAAATGGTATTATGTTAACCGGAGTCTCTATAAAACCAGTTTTAACAACATAGATAAATGGGAAAAGTGTGTGGAAATGCACACCTATAATCCCCAGCCTCTTGAGAGGCTGAGGCAGGAAGATTGTAAGTTTGAGCTTAACCTGGACAACCAAATATCCTGTTCCACAGAAAGCAGATGAGGGCTGGAACTCAGGATATAGCTCTGTGTGAAGGCCCTGGATTCATTTCTCAGTTATAGTACTGCCAAAGGGGCGTGGGGATTATATGTGTAATTTAATATGGTATAATGAGAGTTGGTTGTATCTTTATTGACATTTATTAACTTGTTTGGTAATATGTCTACAAGTTAATAGTGCACTTTCCCTGAAAGTCCAACTGTGTGGAATATAGCAAAACCTCAAAGAAAATAGTGTAGTTAAAGCTCATACTTTGGAGGGCTGGGCATTAAGCTTAGTGGCACAGCACCTGCCTCATGAGCACAAGGTCCTAAATTCAATCCCTGGTAACCCCCCGCCCGAAAAAAGTACATATATCAAACTTTAGGGCCAGGGATTTAGCTCAGTGGTGCCACTCCTGCCTTGCAAGTGCAAGATCCTGAGTTTGATCCCTGGTACCGGAAAAAAGAAAAAAAAAAAAGCTCATACTTTTTATATCTGGATAGGCTATCCTCACTTAGATCTTATGCTTTTACACAGTAGGTAATTCTTTTAGTTTTGAAGTAGATGAGAAGGTAACACAAATTATAAAAGCAAGCTCTTCAGCGGTATCTACAAGTATGAGTAGCGAGGATAACAATGAAACTGATAACTGGTACACTTGCTCCAAAAATTATAAAAATCCCTTCCTAGCATAGGAGAAATAATTCACATATCTTCATCCCTCATGGAGTCATCACTTAATTAAGTGGTCCTCAAGGAAAATAAACTCTGATTATTAAGACTGAATCATCAGAAGATTAAGTTATAGTCTTTTAAGAAATGTGTTACTGTTGTTTAGCCATATGTGAAGACCTTAAAGTTGACCCCTACTGTATAGTCCTATTTTCTCATTGTACACTTCAGACTTTGTATGAAGTAAACCTACTGGACTATAAGCTTTATGATGTCAGGAACCCAATCAGTATTATTTATCATTCTGTCCCCAGAACTTGAAAAAAAACTCTATAAATATGTATTTATGTGAATAATTTTTTAAAAAGTATATGGCTTATATTTGAAAAATGTCATAGCTATGTGGTTGAACACTTGCCTGTAATGTGTGAGGCCTGTGCTGTCATCAGCACAGAGAAAGAGAATAAAAAAATTTATATTAAAGTGTTTAAAACATACTCAATTCATTCCCCTGCAATATTGAAACAAATGAGGTATTCTATATCTTTTTTGGGGGGGTGGTATACTAGGGCTCAAATTCAGGACCTTGCAATTGCAAGGCAGGTGCAGTGCCAATGAGCTAAATCCTCGGCCTGGTATTCTATAGTTTAAATGAGTTTAAGTGTATAAAACATGTGTACTGTTCCTTTTAGATACATTTTTTTGTGGTGTAATTTGCTCTAACTAATTGGAGTGCATTTTAACTCTTCTTTAGACACATGCCTGGACATACAAGTAGAGAAGTCCTCATCATCTTTAGCAGCCTTACAACTTGTGATCCATCCAATATTTATGATCTAATTAAGGTAGGACCAATACATCAAAACAGAAGTTATAGCAGAATATGCTAACACGTACTGTAATCCCAGTACTCTGAGAGCTTCAGGCAGGAGAATTGCAAGTTTGAGCACAGCCTGGACAACTTAGTGGCTTAGAAAGACCCTGTCTCAAAATAAATATTTTTGTTAAGCATGATGGTGCACCCCTGTAGTCCTAGCCCTTGCAAGGCTGAGTCAAGAAAATCACCATGGGTTAGAGGCCAGCCTGACCTACACAGTGAGTTGAAGGCCAGCCTGAACTGTGTAGTGAGACCCTGTCTCCAAAATAATTTTTTTTAAAAGGGGAAGGAGGGAAGGAAAAGGCAGTCAAAATAGGAATTAAGATATGTTATGTAAAAAGCCGGGCGTGGTGGCGCATGCCTGGAATTCCAGCACTTGGGAGGCTGAGGCAGGAGGATTGCTGTGAGTTCGAGACCAGTCTGTGCTACATAGTTCCAGGTCAATCTCCACTACATAGTGAGACCAAAAAACCAAAAAAAAAAAAAAAAAAAAAAAAAAAAAAAAGATACATTATGTATATGTACTACTTTACCACAAGGAGTATAAACACTATATTACATTCATGTACTAATAATTTTTAAAATGCTGTAAAAAATAAAAAATTTGGAGCCAGGGATTAGCTCAGTGGTTTTGCTGCTTGCCTTGCTATCACAAGGTTCCAAGTTCGATCCCTGGCACCAAAAAACAAAATAAATAAAAAATAAAAAATTTTGAAAAAGGGGTGCTGGGGATATAGCTAAGTGTAAAGGCCCTGGGTTAAATCCCTGGTGCCACAAAAAAACAAAAAAAAACAAAGTTACAACTCTAAAGAGAGTTCTGTAGTGAATTTATTAGTGGTTTTCAAAGCATTATTTTTCAAATAATTAATTCTTAAATATTTTTCTTCTTTCCTTAAAACTTATTCATTTTCTTGGATTTGATGAAGACCCTAAAAGCAGCTAAAATCAGAGTGTCTGTCATTGGCTTGTCTGCTGAGGTTCGGGTTTGTACTGCACTAGCTCGGGAAACTGGTGGTGTGTGTTTACTCTCCTCACTGTTTATTCATAGTCACTGAGTAAGGATTATTGACTAGGGTGGCTGAAACCACTCAATCTAAATTATTTCACATCCCATAGTCTAAAATATGGAGTCATCTTAAATGTATTGTTTCTTTGGGAAATTACCTTGAAGTGGAAGAAAATTACAGTAATGTCAGTGTTTACAGAAAATACTATAACTTGAAAGTCTAGAAATTTTACTCAATGTAATACTTTGTAAAGATTTTTGCAACTTCAATGAGGAAAAAAAAGATTTTATAACTTGACTTAATCAAACTGCAATTGCTATTCCTAGAGATACCAATTTAGAGATAAAAGTTTTTAAAAGTGATAATTTAGCTAAAATCTTAATTTTGAAAATGTACATTTTTAGATCTTAAAGCTTTTACAAAATTACATCAAAATAGTAATCTGTTCTTACGTCTATAAAGCTGTTGTTTGTTTATTAGGCACATACCATGTGATATTAGATGAAAGCCATTACAAAGAATTGCTAACACATCATGTTAGTCCTCCTCCTGCCAGCTCAAGTTCTGAATGCTCACTTATTCGTATGGGTATGTATGTATTTTATGTTATTTTCTGAATCCATATTTTCATACTAGGATTTCTATTTTTCACTTACACAAGTTACCATTTTAAAATTTGAGAAATTCTTTTTTTTCTGGTGAGGCGTGATGCCAACACTCTGGAAGGCTAAGACAGAAGGATTGCACATTTGAGTCCAACCAAGGCAGCCTAGTGACTTAGCAAGTCCCTGTCTCAGAAAAGTGGTGGGGATGTAGCTCAGTGTGAAGACCCTGAGTTTGGTCCCCAGAACTGCCACCCCACAAGCACACAAGACAGTGTTCTTATTAAATTAGAAAATATAAATAATGCCGGGCGTGGTGGCACATGCCTATAATCCCAGCACTCAGGAGGCTGAGGCAGGAGGATCACCTCAAGTTTGAGGTCAGCCTGCACTCCAAAGCAGTAGACTCTGTCTTTAAAAAAACAAAGAAAATATAGATAAGAACTTTAGAATCTGAGGTCATGTATAGACAGATTTTTCCCTCATTCCTTTACTTTTTCTTGTAGCATGGATTTATAGTAAGTCTCATATACCATATATGTATGTGTATGTATGTATATCTAAGAGGTGGAAAAATGCTTTTGTACAACTTTGTTGTCTCTCTGGTAGGAACATTTATTTTTAGGTTCCTACTCGTAGAATTCTGCTTTTTGCTTGGAAAGAGAAATTAATACATTTGTTTTTGTTTTTTTAAATACATTTGTTTTCTCTGAAGGATTTCCTCAGCATACCATTGCTTCTTTGTCTGATCAAGATGCAAAACCTTCTTTTAGCATGGCGTAAGTAAAGACCAGTAATATTTCAACAATTTAAATTCATAACTCTGAGTTATAAATTAATAGATGGGCTTGAAATGTGGCTTTTAATTAAAAATTACCTTTTATGTAGCCATAAAAAGGAATGGCGATGGCCATCAGCTCAGTGGCACTGCACACCTACCTCACAGGTACAAAGTCCTGAGTTCCAGCCCTGGTACGGGAAAAAAAGGGAGAGAAAATAACGATATACAGTAACTTCTTTCCTTTTTTTGTTTGTACCGGGGGATTGAACTTTGGGCCCTTGTGCTTGCAAGGCAGGCGGCAGAACCATTGAGCCAAATCCCCGGCCCTATACAGCACATTTTTATGGTGTAATCTTCAGGAAATATTACTAAGTACAGTGATAAGGTAGAGGTGTGTAATATGCTACCAGTTATCAAAAAGGTGATAGGAGTAGATATATGTAATTGTGCTCATAATAAAAAATAATAGTAATGGAAATAGAAGCAAAAGAATGTTTGCATTAGTGCCTTTGTAGGGAAAGACAAAATGATAGAACCTAGACTTTGCTGAATATACCTTGTTTGAACTTGAGTGCTTTACATTTTGCATAATTATGAAACAAAATTAAATTTAAGAAAGTGATTTTTCAAAGTCCAGGTAGGTTTCTGCCTCTCACCATTAAAGGTCTAACAAGGACTAGATAGAGTTACTCTTCTAGACAAAATGTATAATGTATCAGACAGCCAAGTATGGTGGTATGTGCCTATAAACTTAGTGCTTAGGAGGCTGAGGCAAGAAGATGAGTTTGAGGCCAACCTGAACTACATAGCAAGACCCTGTCTCATTAAAAAGAAAAAAAAAATCAGAAAATGAAGAGAAGAAAAAGATAAGGGGGAAGGGTCGTAACCTAAATGATGTACATATTTTCAAATAAAATTTAAAATTTTTGAAATGGAATCCTGAACTTTAAGATCAAGGTAACACACTTAGGTCAGTTCTGTTTTTTACATTTTTATATACATCATCTTTAAAATTATTTTTCTCCCCACAGGCACCTGGATAACAGTTCTGAGCCAGGGCTTACATTAGGAGGCTATTTCTGCCCACAGTGTCGGGCAAAGTACTGTGAGCTTCCTGTTGAATGTAAAATATGTGGTAAGAAGCCAGTTAGTCATTATTTAGTAAATTAATTTAAAATAACTTCTTATCTGTATTATTGGTAAAAATGTAAAAAATGTGAATATTGAGTTACACCTGTGTTTCTAGATTTGTATGTATATATTTATGTATGTATGTGGTACTGAGGCTTGATCCCAGAGTCTTTGCATTGAGCTACATCTCTATCCTTCTTTTCATACTTTTATTTTGAGATAAGGTCTCACTAAGTTGTCCGGGCTGGGTTAGCACTTGGGATCTTTTTGGCTGACCCTCCCAGAGTGCTGGATATAGGTGTGTGCCACCAGGCCTGGTGTGGATTTACTGTTCACAAAGAGAAATAGATTACTTTTTCTCTTGAATGTCCAGTACTACATTTCCAGGAATAAATGTAACATTGTAGTAAAGTTTATTTCATTTATAAGTAAGGAAATAGGCCAAGAGAAGTTATATACATAGCAACAGAACTGATTCCATCATTCTGGACTCTCTCTTTCCCCGGTAAACTGAGAGATGAGTGCTTACAGTTTTTTTTTGTTTTTGTTTTTGTTTTTGTTTTTGTACTGGAAATCGAACTCAGGACCTTGCACTTACAAGGCAGGTTGTGGCAGCGCTGAGGCTATAGCACAGCAGCAGGGGGCCTGCCTAGCCTTCAGCAGGGCCTGGCTTTCACCTCTACCCCTGCAAAAAACAAAACTCCACTAAAAACACTTGAAAGTATTTAGCCTGAGTTACGGCGTTCGACTTTTCAGCTGTTGTCTTTATGAGGTTTGGCTTATTAAACATGTTTCTGTTTGTGTGTTAGGTCTTACTTTGGTCTCTGCTCCCCACTTGGCAAGGTCTTACCATCATTTATTTCCTTTGGATGCTTTTCAAGAAATGCCTCTTGAAGAATATAAAGGAGAAAGGTATGAGTTTTCATTAATTTATATCTTTTCCTAATGGTGAACTAATGAGTAGATCATCACTACCTTAAACAAAATATAGTTACTAATTCAAGGAAGAGTACTTCTACTCTAGAAAATTAGATCCATCTGGGTATAGTGGTGCATTCCTATAAACCCAGCTGTTCAGGAGGCTGAGGGAGTGGATTGCAAGTGTGAGGACATTCTGACCAACTTAGTGAGACCCTGTCTCAAAGTTTGAAAAGAAAGGGCCGGAGATTTAGCTCAGTGGTTCTGCCGCCTGTCTCACAAGCACAAGGTCCTGAGTTCGATCTCTGGTACCAAAAAAGGGGGCAGGGATTTGAGGATATAATTCATGGTAGAGTACCCCTGGGTTCATTGCCCAATATCATAGAAGGTAATTGGGATTTCTTGGTTATAACTGAAATGGCTTCATTATTAAACAGATCTGGATCTCCAGAAATCTTTTAATTTCTTTACTTTCACCTCTTTGAAGTAGGAGTACTATAAGATGTATTATAGCCAGGTATAGTAGCACATGCTGTAATCTCAGCACTCAGGAGACTGAGACAGTAGGATCTTGAGTTCCAGGCCAGTCTGGATTACCTAGAAAATCCCTAGTTCAAAAAACAAAACAACACCAACAAATCATTTGGAAGTTATTTCCTATAAGCACACCTAGATGAATATTGTCTTGAAATCGTGTGTGTCTTAGATGTGTCAGGGTTTATTTAACCAGTTGGTATTAACAAATAATGTTTGTATCTTTGACTTTGTGTAGGTATAAATGCATGATAAATTCTTAGAGGTAGAGTTGTGGAATCAAAAGCTATGTGAATTTTAAGCCAGGCATGGTAGTGAAAACCTGTGTAATCTCAGTACTTGGGAGGCTGAGGCTGGAGGATCACCATGAGTTTGAGGCCACCCTGAGCAACATAGTGAGTTGAAGACCAGCATGCGCTGCTGTATAGTAAGACCTTGTCACAAAGAAACAAAAAAAAAATGATGTAATAGATGTTGTAAAATTGTTCTTTAAAGAAGTTCATTTGTTAATTGCTTACACTTGACCAATATTAGAATTATGTTTTATATTGGCCAAATTAAACAAGTCTCATTGTTTAAACTTGCATTTATTATTTTCTTATGGTTGCGATTAATGAAAGACCAAGTAGACAGGTTACAGATTATAAGATAGAATTTAAGAAATATTCTAGGGCCAGTGGTTCCAGCACCTGCCTTGCAAGTGCAAGGACCTGAGTTCGATCCCCGGTACCAAAAAAAAAAATTCTAGAAAGTAGAATAAGTGGTATAAAATGAAGAAGTAAATACAGTAAAGAAAAGATATGAAAACTGGTAGGTTTATCCAGAATGTCCAAAAATTGAGAATAATATGAGAAACAAAAGAGAAAATATAGAGTAGGAGATCATCAAAGAAATACTTCAAGAGGAAAAAAATTGTTCAAAGAAGTTTTCTACTATTTGTCAGGAGCTAATCAGATCCCCGAACACCTGTTGGAAGGACAATGGGGAGTAAAAGAATCAGAGACAATATTTAATTTGTAAGGGAGGACTGGGAGCAATCTGTTTTAGTGGACAGGCTTTGACAAGTTCTATGATGGACCCACTTTTATTATTTAGCAAGAAGTGCAAGGTAGTATGCTATCTTAGGAACAGTGACTGTAGTAAGATTAGGATAGTAAGATAGGGAACAAGTTTAGCATCTCAAAGGAGTAAGTTAAGGTCCTTTTCTACACCTGGATGCCTATATTTTATATTGTCCCCAGCAGAATGTTATGTTCCCTCAGAAGCACAGTGATTATGGCTTTCCCACAAAGTCAGAAAGTCTAACTTTTTGAATACTTTTCTGTTTCTGAGGCAAGTCAACACCTTGGGACTGTGGGGCCGGTGGCCTGGTCCTCACCAATGTATGTATATCATGGCTGGTCCCTAACACTATTGAAGAACAGAATTTTCTAGGTCAAAGGAATTTTCAAATTCTTAACACAAAAGAAAACAGAACCACAATAAAGTACATAATTGTGCCATTTCAGAATATACAGGGAAGCACTAACCGTAAACATTTCCAGAGTGGGGAAAACTAGGTCACATGTCAAGGATCTGGAATTAAAATTGGTTTCTCATCAGCAATATTGTATGCCGACAGAGAACTCTTCTGGACTCTTCCTTCCTTTCTCCCTCTTTCCTCCCTTGTTGCCCTTCCCATTTGAACATTTCCTTCCCATTTCACAGTATCTCTTATGTATTTTATATCCACCTTCAGTTTCTCACACTGAAGAAACAATACAGTATTTAAACGTGTGTCTGATTTATTTCACTTAAAAGAGTGTGGTCTCAAGGTCCATCCATTTAGTTGAAAGAAACTGGTGCCTGCCAGAGATCACTCCACACACTGGCAGCTCATTTGAGAGATTTATTGTGGAGCGGTGGCACAGTGGCCTACTCAGCGAAGGAGGAAGAAGAGAGAGAGCTGGGTGGAAGCGGCTTGGTTATATAGCGGGTGGCTGTTGTAAGCAGGTCAGGCAATTGCATCAGCTACGCAGGCAGCCACTCAGGGGTCATTATTTGTGATCCATTCCTTATATGGACAAGCCTTGCTTGCACATCGGTTTCTCTTACAACAATGATGCGTCATGAAGGAAATGGAAACTTGAGGTATAAAATGGTGGTTGCTAACCAAAATGGCGACAGCCATATCAAGGTAGTTATCTTATAGTTATAAATGTTTGAAGCTCATCCTTCTTTATGGCAGTACTCCATTGTGGGTTTTGTTTTGTTTTGTTTTTTGGTACCAGGGATCAAACGCGCTGGAACCATTGAGCTAAATCCCTGGCCCCACTCCACTGTGTTTAAAAAAAAAAATCTTTAGCCATTCACTGACAGAGAACTTTTACATTCAGATTTTGGAGTGAAAATATTACAGCTTAGATTATATACCTAGCCAAACTGTGAGTTAAGTGTGGGTGGAAGAAAGAGATTTTCAGACTTGTGTAAGGTCTTGAAAAGAGACTCTGGGGATACTGGAAGAGGTAGTGGATTCAAAGGAACTAGAGAAGATCTTAGGGCTCTAGAAATATTTGTTTAACCCAAAATAGGAAACGATAGGATGATGGTCAGAAGAAATTCAGAATGGCACTGGCATGTCGTATATAGAGGAGAGTCAGTTCCATTTGGAGAAAGCCAGAATGCTCCAGGATAGATACCATTGAGAGGTTGGAAACTATAGAATTCCCAAGAGTCAAATGTGCTGAGAGCATATTTAGACTACTCAGGGAAAGATTGGGGCTGGATTAAGGGTTAATTATTTAGGAGAGTTTGGGATTAAGGACACAGTTAACTCCTGGAAAAAATGTTTAAAGAGAGAAAAGTTACAACTTATTACATGTCATAGCTGAGATTATTATATAGGCATAAATACTGAATATTGATCTGTCAAAAATAATGGCTTACAGAGAAAGAAAAGAATGACATTAGTTTATGTATGTTTATGTATGTTATGTATGTTACGTATGTTACGTATGTTTAGGAAGATTGAAAGAATTAAGTTCTTATCTTCCATAGTTGGGTGCTCAGAGCCAATACTCATAAGGAGCCAAGACTTAGCACTTACACTACTCCTTGAAAATCTAATCATTAGGCACCTGTTGTGTAATAAGTTAACTTCTCTTCTGTTCACTAGAATTGCATTACTATCTACTAGGTTTAGGAGACTTGAAAAATAGTCATTTTCTATAGGGCTTAATTCTCTTCCAGAATCCCAGTTAGAAAGCATATGCATATTTAACCTTAATGAAAATAAAAACTACATTTTGGGATATTGAGCTTCAGACATACTGTGGAATTTGAAGAAACTGTTGGCATTCTTAACTCTTCTGCCAAATTCCTGAATAGAGATAATTATTAAAGGATTCTAGTTACTCAGACTTGCTGAATTATTTTAATTAGTGAATTCTTCTTTTAAAGAGTGATTCTCAAACTTTCTTTTTCAGATTTTGTTATGGATGTCAGGGGCAATTAAAGGACCAACATGTGAGTCTTTCACTTTCTGATTATTAAGTTGTGTAAAAGAAATCTTGAGAAAACAGTACTCTGAGAAGTTTTCAGTAGGTTGTTGAAGACCAGGATAATATCTGCTTATTTCCCATAAATACAGTTATAATAGCTACTAGATGTAAAGCTGAAACAAAATAAATATTAATTTTGTAATTCTGCATTCTAATTTTGCTATGACAGTACTTGGTGCTTTATCTTCAGTTTTCCAGCTAAACTGCTTTTGTTTATTTAAATTGTTTTGTTTCCTTCTTGTTACTAGGGATTGAACCCAGGGCTTACCTCATGCTAGACAAACACTCTGTTACTGAGTTATATTCCCAGCCCCATTCTAACTCCTGTGAAGTTATCATTTAAGGTGGCTATTGATAAAAAATTATTCCCATTAGAAAATGCTTCTTAAATTTTTTAATAGAAAGCCAGGTGCAGTGGTGCATGGCTATAGTTCCAGCTACTAAAGAGGCTGAAATGGGATCACTTGAGCCCAGGAGTTTGAAGCTAGCCTGAGCAACATAGTGAGACCCCATCTCAAGCAACCACAGCAAAGTTTAAAAAGAATGTCTTTGAGGATAGCCAATTTGATTATATAAAATTTGACAGATGCAAATATCATGGCTGTTTTTAACATTTAGCCACATTTCATATTTTAAAATGTACTTTATAAAGTATACCAAATATTAATTAAAAGTATTGCTTGAAGCTGGGCGTGGTGGCGCACGCCTTTAATCCCATCTCTCAGGAGGCTGAGACAGGAGTATCGCAAGGTGAGCTCAAGACCAGCCTGGGCTACATAGTGAGTTCTAGGTCATTCTCAACTACATAGTGAGACCCTGTCTCAAAAAAAAAAAAAAAAAAAAAAGTATTGCTTGATTGGGGCTGAGAGTGTAGCTTAGTGGTAGAGCTCATATGTCTTAACGTCCTGTGTTCAGTCTCAGGACCAAAACAAAATTAAAACTACTTTTTTATTCTACTTGCATGTTTCATAAAACAATTTTATTAATTTTTACATACCTTGGGGCTATGGATGTTGTTCAGTGGTAGAGATCCTGCCTCATGTTTATGGCCCTGGGTTTGATCCCCAACACTGCAAAAAAAAAACCTGTTTTACATTTCTGTTTGACATCAGTAGCTTCATTGTAACTAGAACTGCTTTTTGAATTGTTTGACAGTTTCTAAGAATATGTCATCTAGCCAGGTGTGCTGGCACATGTCTGTAATCTTAGCACTTAGAAGGCTGACGCAGGAGGATCAAGCATGAGTTCAAAGCCTGCCTCAGCTGCATAGTGAGTTCAGTTACACAGTGAGTTCAAGTTCAGCTTGGACTACATAATGAGACCCTGTCTCAAAAAAACAAAACAAAATAACACATCATCACATCATCTTCACTTCTGTGTTGTTTTAGATTTGGTGATTTTGGGGCTTTTTTTGTTTTTTGTTTTTTGTTTGCTACCAGGGATCAATCTCAGTCCTTGCGCTAATGAGGCAGCTGGTGGCACCAGTCTGAAAATCCCTGGCCCTAGACAGTGATTGTTGAACCTTTGTGTGTTGTTGCCCAGGTTTTATCCCAAGGTGCAGATATCCAGTATGTAATGCTGATAGAATCGTGAAAAAAATTTTTTTTAATCTGTGTCACTTGACCTATATTCCTTAATGGCTTAGTTGAAAAAGGAATTTTTGCAGTTGTGAGTCATTCTCTAAAAACAACTAAATGCATGTTAAAGCTTTGTTCTTTTTTTTTTTTTTTTTGGTACCAGTGATCAAACTCAGGACCTTGCACTTGCAGAACACATGCGGTGCCACTGAGTTAAATCCCTGGCTCTTTGCTTTTCTTTTTTACTTGAATCTGTCAGATGACCACCTGTAAGCATTCAGAGCTAGCACTGATTTGTGCTCATGAGACTTCTCTACGTTGTTATTTAAATGAAGTAACAGTATAATAAATTAACTGTATAAATTAACTATTTATGGGAAATTTTTATAATAAATTGACTGAGGACTCAAAAGCCAAGTCATTCCCCCATTTCCAAATGATAGTTTAGTGGGAAAAGAAATCACCTTAGGGGCAAGGAATTTAGCTTAGTGTTGCCATCACCTGCTTTATAAGCACAAGGCCCTGAGTTCAATCCCCAGTACCCCCCAAAAAAAGAAATTACCTTAGATTTGAGTATAGATAGTAAAAGGTGGGTAGAGAAACTTGATTGAGATATAAACAGCAAGGGGCCAGGGATTTAGCTCAGTGGTTCCGCTGCCTGCCTTGCAAGTGCAAGGACCGGAGTCTGATCCCCAGTACCAAAAAAAAAGTTATTGGGTAAAAGAGACATAAACAGCAAAGCAACATGAATGTCCTTACTTACATGAATGTCTGTGCTTACTTAGCTTTTAGATCCTACTTTTATTGATTCTTTTTCTTCTTTCTGTTACAGGTCTATGTTTGCTCTGTGTGCCAGAATGTGTTCTGTGTGGACTGTGATGTTTTTGTTCATGACTCTCTCCACTGTTGTCCTGGCTGTATTCATAAGATTCCAACACCTTCAGGTATTTGATTGCAGTATGAGTACACATAGTGTGTTAAAAAGAAATTTGTGCTGAGTGTGGTGGTGCACATCTGTAATCCTAGCACTCAGGAGGCTTTCACGGTCAACCTGGGCTACATAGAAGTTCAAGGCCAGTATGAACTAACAGCAAGACCTTGTCTCAAAAAAAAAAAGAAAGAGGGCCAGGGATATAGCTCAGTGGTGCTGCTCCTGCCTCCCAAATGCAAGGTTCAGAGTTTGATCCCTAGTACCGCAAAAAAAAAAAAAAAAAAAAAAAGAGAGAGGGAAAGAAAGATATTTGTGATTATAAACAAAATGATTCTTTTAAAGAAGCTCCAGTTTAGCTCCTGAGTTTAATTCCCAATATTCCTAAAATATGAACAACAGTTTAAGAGAAAAATCTGATTTAAGAAACTTTTGCTAATGAAGCCAACCAACCATCAACTGAATTGTGTGAAACCATGAGTCAAATGAACATCACTCCTGTCTTTGTTGCTTTTCTCATCCCTGGTGCACAATACCCAACATCCACAAAAGAGAGGTTTTAGTCCACAATCCAGTGACTCCAAGGCAGGACAAGCATGACAGAGGAGCAGTGGAAAGCTGCTCATGTCCTTAAAAAAAAGAAAATATTATATTTTGGTAAATTTTTTGTTTCCTGTCACAATTACCTACAATTCAGCAGTGTTTCATTCAACTAATCTGGTTTTGTATTATGTGGAGTCATGTTTTCAAAGTCCTTATGCATTATTATGTATAAATTATCTGTCATGATGAAATTGTGTGATAATGCCCTTGTTTTATAATTGGAATAAGTTGTACTTTGGCAGCACATAAACTATAATTGAAGTAAATTAAATGTTTGTGATTTATTGTAATTAATTTAGTATAAGAAGACATTAAGTACAAATTATAAGATAAAAATTAAGTAATAGTTATGAAATTTTAATACATTCACCATAGTGGGTTTTTTTTTTACTTAAAATTCTTGGAGTTCAATTATAAAATTAATACATCTGAATTTATTTGTGGCTATGACCAACAGGGGATTTTAGGTTAAACATGCAAACTCACAAACTTGCCATGCCACCCTGCGTCCCAGATCACCAGAAGAAGATTAAAGGGAATAGCTGGGCGTGGTGGCACTCGCCTGTAATCCCAGCACTCAGGCGGCTGAGGCAGGAGGATCACTGTGAGTTCTAGACCAGCCTGGGCTACATAGTGAGTTCCAGGTCAGTCTCAACTACATAGCAAGATTCTGTCTCAAAGAAAATGGAAAAAAAAAAGGTGGGGGAATGGCAGCCTGGAGCCAGGGTGTGTCAAGTGTTCACGTGTGGGGTCCAGACACAGCTTCATAGGCAGCGTGGTTGACCTTTCTCCTCTGCATGGTAACGGGGCTTCAAGGCTTAAATAATGCTGGGATTACAATACAGTGGAAAAGATCTTCACCTCATTTATGTACTACACCTACTGCTTTTAAATATCTTATATAATGGAGTATGTCTAATTCCAACATTTTGGTTGGTTGTTGTATCTGAGTCTGGTTTTTTTGTTTGGTTTTGGTTTTTTGAGACAGGGTCTCACTATGTAGTTGAGACTGACCTGGAATTTACTGTGTAGCCTAGGCTGGTCTCAAACTCTCAGTGATCCTCCTGCCTCAGCCTCCTGAGATCTGGGATTACAGGCGTGCGCGCCCGGCTTGAGTCTGGTTTTTTGTATTGTTAGGATAAGTGAATTCAAAGTTGAAATGTCTTACTCTTTGAACCTCACTGAGTTTCATCCCCAGGAAGTATTTATTTTTTTGTGAGACAGGGTCTTACTATGTAGTTCAGGCTGCTTTGACTCACTGTGTAGCCCAGCCTGGCCCCAAATGCACAGCAATCCTCCTCCCCAGCTTCATGAGTGCTGGGATTACAGGTGTATGCCACCATGCCTTGTGGGAAGTATTTTATCATCTTCTTCCACTTTCCTACTCTGGGTCATTGGATAACTTATGTGATAAGGTCTACGCTTTAAGTCCAGTGCATCCATATCATTATGGGTAGAACTCTTTTCTAGGTTTTCCCTGTTGAAAGTGAATAAAGCTTCTGTTCCATAACAAAGGTATCTACTGGGCCGGTGGTTTAGCTCAGTGGTTCTGCTGCCTGCCTCACAAGGGAAAGGTCCTGAGTTTGATCCCTGGCACCAAAGAAAAGGTATCTTATATCTTACTGTATAATTTATATCTGTAGTCGCTCTAGGTTGTTTCACCATGAAATTTATGATCCTTATGATCCTATAAGAATTCTTAGTGAAAGACATTATTAGTAAGGATGATGTAATTCTACCCTAGAGGTTTTATTTACTATATCTTGGCTGAAGACTAGGAATTCACATTTTTTAACAAACAAGCACATGGTGATGAAAGTGATGAATGTTTCTGTTAGGATTCCTATTTTATGTGGCACTGGGGATCAAACTCAGGACCTTGGGCTTGTGAGGCAGAAACAGTGCCACTGAACTAAGTCCCTGGCCTAGGATTCCTATTTCTTTAGCCTAGACTCAGTGGTTCTTTATGTGGAAACAAATTATGGTTACAAGTAACCTGGCATCTGCTGTCTTTTCCCTACCTGGCTTAAAGCCAAGACCTTTAGTGGTCACCTTTTAAAAAGTTTTTAAAACTGCCCTAGAGACTCACCCTACAGCTTTAACTCTTTCCCCATGTATCATTTGCATACTTGGTAAAGTTGGATGAATATTTTAATTATGCCCAAGGAGCTTCCCTTTCCACAATATAAACAAAAATCTTGGATTGTTGAAGATTGCAGATATTGGAGATAGCACTGTAGCTCAGTGGTACAGTGCTTGCCTGTGTTCAGTCACCAACACTGGGGAAAAAAATTGCAGATATAGAAATGGTAATTAAGACAGTTCTGGCCTATAGTTTCTTTATTGAAACTTCTCAATATTTAATATATTTTAAATACTTTCAAATAGGTACATTTGTGTGTGTGTGTGTGTTACTAGGGATTGAACCCAGAGCCTTTGCAATAAACTATAGCATCAGCCCTTTATTTGATTGATTGATTGAGTTAGGATGTCAGAATCTGACCAGGTTGCCCTTGCTGGGCTTGAACTTGCAATCTTTTTTGGGGGGGTACCAGGGATCGAACATGGGTTCTCACACTTGTGAGGCAGGCAGCAGAACCACTGAGCTAAATCACCAGTGAACTTGCAACCTTTTTACCTCTGAGGCCTCCCAGAGTGCTAGGATTACAGATGCCCACTACCACATTCAGCTTCATATTCTTTTTTATTCAGTCTGACAACCCTACCTCCTTCCATTGCCCATGAACTATTGCTTGTAGTTTGCGTACAGAACTGTGTCATCTACTTCTTTGGTACCTGCTCAGGAAACCATATTTCCTCATCAGTGGTGAGGCATTGTATCCAGCTGTGGACAGCGAAAGGGGCAACTCAGGTAAAACAGGCATGTTCGCTAGCATTTGGAATCCAGCCAGCCCAGGACACTGAATAAAGTCAGCAGCAGTAGAATAGGAGGTAAGAACACGTTTGGGAAAAAGAGGCAGCCAGGGGAATCTAAGAAGACATTAGAAGTTTGTAGGTAGTGAGTGCGGTGGTGCACACCTGTAATTCCAGCACATAGGCAGCTGAGGCAGGAGGATCACTGGGGCTCCATAGTGAGTTCAAGGCCAGACTACAGTACTACATACATACCAAGACTGTGTCTCAAAAAACGGAGTTCAGTTGACCAAGAAGAAAAGGACTGAAGTTACTAGTAAGACATTCCTGGAGCCAGGGATTTAGTTCCACCATTTGCCTTGCAAGTGCAAGGTCCCAAGTTTGATCCCCAGTACAAAAAAAAAAAAAAAAAAAAAAAAAAAAA